GAAGTTGCTAAGAGTTGCTGGGGGAATTGAGGCCCAAGTTTTCTCGCACGCAATGTGCCACTGCCTTCATTAACCCCCCTACTCCCCTTAACAACCAGGCAGCAGCAGTTGCAGGAGGCAGCTGAACAGTGGCTATAGTTACCACATTAAAACAGATCAGCCCCCCCCCCCGCGAGAGGTGATTTAACTCTAGATCAGAACCAGACATGGAAAAAAAACGGTGCGGTTGCATTTCCTTGGAAACGGGAAAACCAAGGTGATGCTCAGAAGAGCTGAGAGGTTTTTAAAAAGCATTATTCGTTTCGATATGAAATGTGGTTTTGCCTGTGGATTTTTTTGGTGTTTGTTTATGAAACCTGTTGAGCCTCACTGCAGGCTTCAGGCGATTAACTGCCTGGTGCCCGGGTGCGAACCTGAGCTAGTGTTGAATGCACTGCTCCTCTGTGTGCCTCTTCCCATCATCAGCCTCCACTACGACACAGAGCCGAGACCTTTTGAAACAATCCTTCCCTTTACAATCCCTGTGCAGACTCTCAGTATGCAATATGAGGCATGCATGGGTAACCTTTGACCTATTTGGCATTAGAGCTCAACATCAGTAGTTCATTTTCTTTAAACCGGTTAAGTAAGCTTTTCATTTTATTGGAAGGAAAAGTCAGCTGACTAGAGGAAATATGATTCATTTGATATGCATAACACACTACATGGCAGCTCTAGTGAAACCTTATGCAGGTCTTAGTGAATTTTTTAATTTATTCTACTCATCAAACAGCACTAAGAAGCTCTTTAGATCATGTCTTTTAGGCATCACCTCAGCATTTTTTGGCCCTACTGACATTCCCTGAGGCTGCGGGCTTCCCGTTTCCTTTATTTAAAAGCCCAAAAGCAGTTCTAGCTCTGGCAAACCCGAGGAAATCGCCTGTGCAATTGCAACTGCCTTTGTAATTTGTATTATAATGTTTATCATTTGCATAACCTGGCACAGACATCCTCATAAGGTTTTGCAGCTGGCAGGTCTGAGGAACATTTATGTGACTTTATTAGTCTGTTCTCTGGAGTTAATACAGCAAACATCAGCGAATACCAGCTGCAAACTCAGCATAAACCCCCCCGTTGAGTGTATATCGAGACCTCATGAATAGAAATATACACGGATGCTGTATATTGCTTTTATTGAAACACTTCTCGAGAGCCCGAATTTTGTCTCCCGGTTGTACTCACTGCCTGCTGTGCCCTTAGTCTGCTGCAATGTGCCTGAACATCTGGATCACTTTCAGGCCTCCATGCTAGTCGTGCTACATGATACAGAGGGGAGTCTCTAATGGGATGTGGCAATTTCATGTCTTGTGGAATTATTACAGTAGTTCAGGGTCTCTAACCCTGCTCCCAGAGAGCCCCAGTCCAGCAGGTCACAATCAGATCACCAATTTTCAAGGGCTTGGTGCAATTTAATTGAGACCAGTTCTCCTGGTGACAGTCTTATAAAGTGGGGAATTCAGAGCTCTAGGACCAAAATCTGACTCTCCACCAGCTCTCAAGGACTAGAGTTCTGTTAATTGTACAGATTACTCAATAATTAATTCATCAGTTAAATACCAGCGTTACCAGTCTTTAGCGATCAGTGACATGTAAGACTGAATTGGAGCTCTCCAGAACCTGGGTTGGAGCTACCTGTGTTCATTCTCTTCAGTCCATTAAGGTCTGCGTTATTGCAGGACTCAGACAAGAGCTCTGTAACATGTTACTCTTTTGGGCTCCTAATGTTTTCATCTGAAGTCTTTGGTGTTCAACATTTTGAGGGTTAATTGTGCAGTGAGCAGTTGGGGAGTTACAGAGCCACGGTCTACAACGTGACAAAGTTTTACTGCCCAATCCCTTCTAGAGAACTCCTTGTGTGGAACCAAGAGTGGAATTTAGGCTTTGCTCAGACAGTTCCAGTCAGGAACTGGGGCTTCTTACCACTGTCACAATCTAGTAATGAATGTGTTTGGTGCAAATTATATAAGATCACAGTGTTGCAGAAAGGAAGGTTCTACAGGCTGTAAATCAACAGGTGCTGTACTAAGATGCAGAGTTCCTAGCTGGGTGGGGTTCTTTAATAGAATGACCCCTGGAGACAATGTGGCTTGTGTTTCTTTCAAGGCAAACAATTATTGGAAGAGAGTATTGGAAACACATAAAGACATGCTAGGGTGTACTGTATATGCTAACATTTTGGTCTGCTCTGCAAAAATATTCTTCTGCTCCCTGATGATCTCTTGCTAATTACACCACAATTTATTGATCAGTTTAGTGCCATAGGGGAAAATGCTAATCAGGCCTGAGATGAATGCATGATTCACAAGAACATGCTGGTTAATGGGATTCCCTGATATACCTGGAGACCGGCATGGTCTCTGCTGTGAACTGTTCATTCATGAGAACGCACTGCTTGTGTAGACATAGGACACTTGACACTGCTTACCTTCAAGAGTGCTGCTTCTTCAAAATACTGCGGCCACTTTCTGGAGCTCGTTTGGAGCTGCTGTTGCTACCTAGTACCAGATGGGCTAGATGGGTCTCTTGTTTGTAACCAGTCTTATGTTTGAAAATACAGGGCACAACACCCCTGCCCCCAATTAAACTTAAAGACACAAAAATCCTGATGTCATCCACAAATTGTGAGAATTGTTACCTCTTTTATTTTGGTCACACTCTGTTTGTGTGTATAAAATACAGAGCATCTCATAAACACCAGGCTTTTCAAAGATTTGTGAATGCAGCCTGCAAGGGTGGTTGATATGATGCTGCAGTCTGCCCTTCTTGTGCTCCTACACCTGGTCTTTACAGCACAAATCGGTTGTATGTCCAGCACAAACACTGAGCAAAGATGGTATCTCCTTGTATATTTATATTTATGTGCAAGACTGGGATCGCAGTGATGAGACACATTAGGATTCTTGATTGCTGGATGGCAAGGAGTCAGTGTGTCTGAACATAAAAATAAAATGGTGACCTGTACAGACACCCACATCTCCTCTTTACATACAGTTCAGCGTATTTCCATGAAATTAATGGACAACAGCAGCCTTCATCACAGGTGATTCAAGCTAGCCAGATTTGTGTTTTTGTTCTTTGGAAAGTGTGGTTCAGTTGTTTCTTTTGTGAAAGCCAGGGTGCTTGGATCTGGGGAGAAGACGATAAACGCGTTCATCCTGCGGCTGTTTTAAAAGCAGAGCTGTCTCTACACCCTCGCTCTGTGCTCCCCGGCCCTTCGTTAAACGGGTGTGTGGATGAATGAAGCCGAAAAGCCTCCACACTGACACCACTGCAGAGCAGAGGAAATCAATAGGTTCATAGCAGTAAAAAAAAAAAGGTTCCATCAAATATTAATCGAGCTTCAGAGGTGGGTGGTAGTGGATCGCACATGTTGCCCAATCTCACTTAGCCCTGGACATGAGCACCATGCTCTTTTGAAGTTTCCTTTTGGTGTCTGTCAATATCCCAGGTTTTGCTTCTGCCAGCCTTGAGATACTGTAAATCTGCAGCTCTGTTTAATTTTTAAAGCCTGCAACAAGGAAAGGAAGGGACTGAATGATGTGTCTCCTGTCTAGAGTCCTCGGTCTCTCCTCAGATCTGTCAGCGGTCTTCCTGTCTTGCGAAGGGTGTGCACTGAGACCTGATCAAATAGTGACAACAGTATGTGCTCACAGCTTCGCCTAGTAAAAGCTGTGAAACACGGGACAAGGACGTGATCCATGGAATGTGTGCTCCTCATTAAATGTGTATTCTCAATCCCTGAGAATTGTGGTGTTTACTTAATGCCAAGTCTATATTTTTTGTTAACATTAAAAAGCCTGCAAGGAATATCCAGACTGTATGTTTTTGGAGTTCAATTATAGGATTAAAGTGATCATAGAACACATGCACTGTAGCTCTCCATGAATCACTCTAATGGCTTCGTTTCACATGTTATTGCTTAATCACATTGCAAGTTATCTAATAGGCACAATGCGCTTCTTAACATGTTCTAGTGTCAGGCCAGCACATTTCTCGCTGACTGGCAATAAGTGTGGTCCTGTTTTGTCATTTTAGACTGACACTGAGTTTCTCTTCCCATTCCACACTCTGTAGCAGGGCAAGGAGCTCACAGCAAAACCCCATCTGACACAAGGCAGCACAGAACAGAGGGAAGCAAGAGCTTAACACTTCCCACTTGTTGCATTGTAGGTTTTTGGAAGTTTTTTTTTTACGATTTATGAAGAGGGAGAAAAGTATGCAGATATAGGTTCTTAATCCAGGTTTCAGTTATTCTGTATCTCAACAACTTCAGATTTTAAACTTTAAACCCTTCTAGACCACTCTGTGACAAATGTATTAAAAGGCAGCTTCTTCCAACTTAAGAAAGGAAGGAGAATTAGTGAGAACCATTCCGAATTGATTTTTTTTCTTATGAACAGAGGAGTACAAGATGTTTTTTTTTGGCGCTTGTCTGGGGAAGGGAAGTCGGTTACAGTGCTAATAGCAGAGACTGGAATAGAGAAGCTGTGTGATGTTGTATATTCAGCCCTGCACCTGTGTGATCACATGGCTTCTCTGTGCTCACAGAGTGCACCCACAGTGTTCGGACAGGGGAAATCAAAGCCTAGTAGCTGCATGGCTAGCAGGCTCAGGCACATGTCCAAACAGGCACAGACCCATCCTGGAGGGACCCGAACCACAGACAACTGTGGAGATGAGCCCATCTGTAGGGACTGATTTGCCTGCTGGTCTGATGTGAGTGGCTGATGCAGTTTTGGAAGCTGTTGGATGCTGCCAAGGAAGCTGTCACTCTGCACGGCAGCCACAGATGGCCAGGGCGACAAAACTAACAGCTTGAACATAAAGCGCGTCCGAGCTAGAAAAAGCACCCCAGGGCAATTCACACCTGATGGAGGTGTAAATCAGCAGGGCTCGGAAGAGGTGACTTTCAGGGAAGGTCCCGCTCCCAGGCAGCTGTGCTCTGTTGTCTCGTCCCGCAGTCCTGGCGCCCGGCCCGGGGAGCGCGGCCAGCCGGAGGTGCGACTCCATCTACAGGGGCTTCGCTGAGTGTCTGCTGCGGCTGGGAGACAGCATGACCCGGAGCGTCCAGCAGGGGGCCGAGGACCTGCAGGAGATCGACACCATCTGCAGGTGGGTGAGGAGGACGGACAGCCAGACTGACCCCCTCCACGTCCAGCTCCGCGCTCCGAGCCGCCAGCCCGGCCTTCAGGGATGGACAGCCCCGCTTTCTATGCACCGGCTAATATATCCCAGAAGCACTCACACATAGGCGGTGTGGTGGCTCTGTGGCTCAGGACCTGCGCCTGGGGCTGGAAGGTTGCTGGTTTGTATCCCGCGGCCGGCAGAGGAATCCTACTCCGGTGGGCCCCTGAGCAAGGCCCTTCACCCCAACTGCTCCAGGGGCGCCGAATAAATGGCTGACCCTGCGCTCTGACCCCAAGCTTCTCTCCCTGTCTGTGTGTCTCATGGAGAGCAAGCTGGGGTATGTAAAAAAACCGAATTCCTAATGCAAGAAGTTGTATATGGCCAATACAGTGATCTTATCTTACTGTATGTCCCTCCGTGTTATGCAATAGTTACTCTAAATTGTGTTGAATGAATGGATACTTATTTAGCTGTTGTTTATATGATTTTTACTTTATACAATTGCAGAAAACAGTTCTGTGAGGCATCGGTCTGTGGTGATTTTGGCTCAGCAGATTGTACAGTGATAGAGCCTTCCACTGGCTCACACATCTCTTACATAACAGACTGTCAGCAGCTCCACTGTCTGACAGAGAGCGCTCGATTAAAAATTAAAGGTCTATATCTCTCACTCTGCCTCTCTTTATTTATATATATATATTTGTAATTCATCTCTATATAAAGTCACAAGCCTCTGATAGAACATGTTTAAAAATTAATGTACACTAGGGTCTGAAAAAGTTCCACGACCGTCTGTGAAGGAACTCAAACGTGTACAGTGCTTGTATATATGTATCTGCTACAGAGCTGTGTTTGAAATTGCAATGCTGCATAAATATTTCAGAGTTATTTAAAAGAACCACAAGGGTCAGATGTAAAGACATACCTAAGTACAAGATAGAATAATCTTAAACTGAAAATATATTAAGAACGATCATATTTGTTTTTATCTGAAGTTTTTAAACAAAGTTTAGATTAGTTTGGAATGCCTAATGCACATCTTTCCCTAATAATACAAGAGATGTACAGTATTGCATGAACTGCACAGTCTTTACCAGGGTTGTTGGAGAGTTTACTTCACAACATCTGTGATAGTCTGTACATGAATGTACTTTTTGGCCCTTGTTTATACTTCATTGCTGCGGAGTTTGGGTGACACAAGTCATCCACTTTATTGCCGGCACTAATTTGGTCACAAAATGGTGAGATTTAACAGACGTTTTGGGAGGAGGTCAAAATGTAATTTTGCGCTTCCACTCTCCTGTGTATAAATATTACCTGGCTGCCCATAACTCTGCCCTCATCTTCTCTTCCCCCCACACCAGCTGCACTCTCGCTTCTGCCTCCCTGGCTCATTCCTCAGAAGCGAGGGGGCTGTCCTCAGCCAGGCCAGTTACACCTGTCCCTCACACCTGTCCTCCCCGGCTCTGTCCCCGCAGGTCCTGGGACGAGTTCCACACCTGCGCCAACGCGGCGCTGGCAGGCTGCCCGGAGGAGGCGGCTGCGGTCTGGGAGTCTTTGCGCCAGGAGTCTAAGAAGATGCAGTTTTCGGGGAACCTGTATGACATGTGCTCCAACCGCGCCAAGCCCCCCACCAGCATGCAGAGCCCCAGCCAGGAGGAGACCAATCAGGAATCTCTGAAAGGCCACGCCCAGCGCCTCAGCCCCGCCTACTCCCTGCTCGCCATGTGGCTTCCACTGCTGCTCGCCAGGATGTAACTGCTCTGGCCAGGCCCAGGAGGAGGGAGCAGCAATCCCCCACATAGGCTCGGACTGAAACACTATGTCCATTTGCAGTAGCGTCTGTTTCTGATTGTGACTTTAAGGGGATTGCTTAAGAGCTGAAACCTGGCAGAGTATATTTCTATACCCAAAGGTTGCATTGCTCTCTTATTTGGCAGCTCACGATACTCATAAATGCAATCTTCTCAGCAGAATAAGACACACACACCAGTCCCAAGCTGATTTATTTTTTTTTAACCATGGGATGCCACTCTGGTGTTCTTTTTATCTTACTCTGGAAGCTTTGATCCTTTGTCCCCAATAGAAAGAAACTAAAGTGTGCGAAAGCCACTAAGCGAAAAAGACATTTAACAGCACAGCGTGGCTTTCCCTAGAGAGTTGACAATCATTATGATTGCTGATACATAATAAAGAAATTTCGAGAGTCACAAGCTCCTTTTAACGTTATTCTCCATCAGATGACTTTCATCAAGATGGCAGACAATTTGTTTAGATCTTTTTTTTTAATTTGGAACAAAAGGGGGTTATAAAATGCATAAATTAACCAATTTCAAACATGTACCCTTATGAAATGAGAATGTTTCTGTGAAACCCCACTGAGCAGAAGATTATTATCACACTTCTAGAGTGGTGAAGGGTAAGGGCTGGGAGCACTCAAGTGACTTGTTGAGTGTGTAGTTTCATTGGAGAATGATTACCACCAGGAAATACTCTAAAACGTCAAGGCCCTTTGACAAGACAGGTTACACACACCGAGAGAGCTTGACCAGCTGTTATTATTGTAGTTCCAGTGGTGTATGTATTAGTTTAACTTGCAGACAGTTTCACAATGCGAGGTTAGGTGTCCGTTACACCAGGAATACATTTATTACAGGCGTATAAATGAAAAATCCATTTTGTGGTCTAATTTCACACACTTAAACACCGGCAAAATTGTGAATTTGGAATTCTTCTTTACCTCTTTGCTTTAAGTAAAACCAGCCCACTGACTGTCCTCTGTTTGGACAAGACAGTGTTGTTCAACTTTGTTTTCATCAAAGGGTACTTTGAAATTTGGCTCAGCATTTTATTCAGCAGTGATCTTCTTGAAACACAGGTGAGGAACCCAGACAATGTTTGGAATAGTTTTGGTGCAGAGCCTTGAATGACCTTAGTGAAGTCTTAGTAGTAGAAATAAGTAGCTTTAAATTGTCTTTAAATGCCAGTGGGGCCATTTGAATGTGCATCTGCTTAGTAACTCTGCAGATAGCCTTTGTGCAATGTACTCTATGATGTAAAAATCTGACGTCAGCACTACAGTAATTTATCTTTCACTTGTTGTGTAGAAACCTGACATGACATAGAGGAGCCACAAAAGTTTCACCCTGAAAGTACTGTCCTAAAGCAGGAGTTGAGTGATAATCAGGAAGCAGTCAATACCTGAAAAAGTTTTTACTCTGAAAGTACAAATACCTGGTGATTCATAAAGTATTGGTCTGAAATAAAAAAAAAACGAACATATTTGCTTAACCAAAAGGAAGCCCACCTTTGATAATCAAGGTTATATATTCTATTTTTGAGATAAAAAAAGCTTGGTATCATCTTTGTATATTCCAATATAAAAGTGGTTTTCAAATTTAATATGTAATTAAGAACCTCTATGTGTACAGATGTATAAATCACATTATTCCCAGTTATATATAAATGCACATTTTCATTTGAAGAGTGTGAGCGTATTTTTCTTCCTAACCCTCAAAGGATATAGCTTGCTTTTTCATTTTGTTATTCCATCCTGATAAAATATATATCAAGGCAAGCCTGGTTTTAATACAGTATTCAGATTTACATTTGGTAAATCTGGTAAATATTTCTAAGTATCCATTTATATATAAACCTACAGGTACGGTACTGTAATATTTCTATTGTTTTAATTTCTAAGAGTTTTAATGTATTTGTTTATTGGTGAAGCTATTGTTTGCAGCTCACAAAGGACGCTCTATTCAGAAGCAAGACAGACTCAACTTGCTTTCCTTCAGGAGGAGATTCTGGTGTAGTGCACGGTCTCAATGTTACACTTCTGTGTACTGGACTGTACGACAGCATGTCCTGTTAGAGAATCTTGCTGTTATTGCGATTAATCTTGATAACCTATAGGAGACAGACGGGTTTCTTTTGACCATTTTTCTACGATTGTTATAAGTGGACAGAAGGCCACATGTTTAATCCAAGTAAATAGTAATTTCCAATCTTTTTTTAGACTAGTCACCAGGATGGGATCAGGAGCTGGGGTTAGTTTTTCTGCAGCAGCTGATGTGCCTGATGTAACTCTGCTTTTGCAGGATTTATTTCAGAAAGCAAATGCACATGATTCCATTGCAACCAGGAACATTAGGAACGTCTAATATGTTTTAGCTCCCCAGTGTGAATTTATTAAATGGTCCCACAGGGCATTTTTCTCCTATTTCCAGTCTGTGAATTATCTGTCTTTTACAAAGCCACAGTTAGGAAATAATTGTCTGACCAAGCTTTACTGCGGTGACCAATGTACTTGAGAAGATGGGTGAGAATTGTGCACCTTGCATGTTTCTGATCCAAAATATGCCCTGTTGCTGACATTCTCCACTGCTCATTGTGTGCAGTTTCTATTGGGAATATGTGAATATCTGCTAGGCTTTCACAGTTCTTCGATTAACACAGGGTGAAGATGGAAACAGGAGTTTAAAAATTCGCCACATACTGCACATGTGCATCGGTTTACTACTGACTATTTTCAGGAACAGTAATGTGTATAATATTAACAGGCTGCTGTTAATATTAAAGTTTAAGTTCCCTATAGCGAAGCAGTGTAATTGAGATAGCAGAGAAATGTAAACTGTCATTCATTCAGTGCTTTTGCCTTTCAAGAATATCATTGCATCAACATCATGATACAAATCTATTATATTTTTCTTTTTGATATTCTATTTGCAAAGCAATTTGTTAATTGATATAAAATGAATAAAATGTTGGCGATCGGAACTGTGGCGTCCTGATGCAATCGAGACCGAAGTCTTCTCGTTTGGTGTTGCGTGCATGAAAAGCACTTATAGACTCTGATGCTGACAACAGTGAGGCTAACAGCAAGGTTGTCATGTCGATAAAGAAAAAAAAAGGAATGTGATACCCTGACACAAACAATAGAGCATATATACCCCCCTAAAATTAAATTATTGTTGTTGGGAATTGCGAGAAATGAAAGAAAACCAGTGGAGGAGCTCTTCTGTCTAAGCTGTAGAAAGATGGGCAGAGTGCCTGTTCTTATAGCATGACCCTCTGCTCTCCAGCAGCCTGTCCTACGACCTGTTTTTGTGATATTGCCAGGCTTCGTTTTCCTGCTTAATATCACAATAGTGTTTCGCTGCTTCCTGGAGCCCCGTCATCTATTAATATTTCATGTCTAACAGCTGCTCTGGTAAACAGTGCTACCTTTGGGTTTCTGCAGAAAATTACCACCTGGTGCCCCCAGAACACTGCGTGCCACCACTGCTGTCCAGACAGCGCTTTTCTGACAGAGCAGGTATTAAAGAGCCGGAGCTATTTTATTAAGTTCTCTCTGTATTTATTTATCTAGCTTTAAATGAAAAGATCCTTTTACTGCCGGGCTCTGGGGTGAGGTGAACTGGTGTTAGCATAGCTAATCCGCACCACCGCAGCCCCTTATCAGGGTGAGTCGTGTAGCAGCCACTGCTTGTTCTCAGCCCCTATCTTCGTACAACATGTCTGCTACCTTATTTCCTCGGGGCTGGAGGTTAAACCAGTTTTGTGCCATTTACTTCTGATATTATTAAAGTGCATTCCAAATCCTCTTGGTTCTTGTTCACAAGAGAAGCTTTGACTTTTTGCGATGCCCTTTTTTCCCTTTGAATGTGAACTGTACTGAACTACTGTATATATGAGCCTGTGCTATAATTCTCTCAAAAGCAGGGTTTTGTCTAGTGATGGAACAGCACTTATTAAAAATCTAGAATGACTGGTCTCAGTCACTCCACTGGGTGGTATTTATATAGAAAAAGAAATATATCAAAGTCATGTAACTAAAATGCAAATAACGCACCAGTATTCTGGCTTTCCAGAATACCAGGGATATTTAAACAGACCAGATCTTTTGTAACTATTTTTATGTATCTTGGAAGTATTTCCTTGCGGAAGTTGACCTCTCACCTTCTCCAAAATCCGTTAGAATCCTTACCTTCCAACTTCAACCAAAAAACACGACATCACCCTAGAGGTTTTTTTCCCTTTTATTTTCAAGGAATACGGCACAGGAAACTGCCGGGATAATTTTAATCATGCAGCTCCTGCTTCCTGCGTTGAAGGCCCTCCGTAGCTCCCCCGGGGGGGTGGGGGGGGCTGCGAGATTCGTCAAACTCAATTAGTGTACAAAAAAAAAAAGTCAACCATGAAACATTTACTCAGGAATCAATCAAACCAATCCAGAATTCTCTCCAGCCAGGCAGGGTGGCAGCTTTGTTCCTGTTAATGAGCCCGCTCCTCGTGTGAGGCGGGGGTGGGTGTTGAAGGCAGGAGGGGGTCCTGGGGTGACTGATGGAGGGTTAAGCGTGAGGAGAAAGCCAAGTGATGTCTCTGTTACATTCCACCTGACGCACGAGCGCTCAGACAACGTCACTGGTGTCCCTACTTGGCCTGCGGCTCACCCTTTCTTCCTGTTTGGCCCCTGCGTGGGACAGAAATCACGGGGGGAGGTGAAACCTCCCCGATTATTTTTTTACCTTTTATTCCCAAATCCCTCTGCTCGCAGCTTGGCAGCTCCAGCAGGGACATGGATTAAGCACAAACATTAAGGGGCACTGTCCTCGGCCCACTCCTCCTCTGTAGCCACTGTCAATTTCATCTCCGGGTGATCTGCTGAGAAGGTCAGTGCACAGGTCTTGAGAGACGCCAAGGATGGACAAACGAGGCCTAGCTGCTGTGGGGACCGCAGCTCTTCTCCCTTATCCTGCGCTCTCAGCCTGACGCCGGTTTCCCATGCGTCCCCGTATCACCGTCGGATTAATTGGCACAATGTCTCCTCTGCCCTTGCGCTCCACACGTACAGACAGCAGGAGAAATAATCCCCTTGTTAGATTTGAAATAAAAAAAGCTTAGTCCTCGTTTAGCAGCGCTGCAGAGCGCAGCCCAGTGATCGCATTGGGTAAGAGTAATTATACAGTAGGTGCAGAGGCAGAGACATCTCCCAGGCTAGCTGAACAGTAAACATTTCCATGAGGTTTCTAGAGCTCTACAGCCCCAGTCCCATCATTTATATAAATAACCTGAAGTGAAATTCCAGGAGTCTTGATTAATAACCCTGGAGATCTTAATATTGAGTGTGTAGTACCTACCGCTGACAAAACGAAACTCACAAGCCAGGTTATTAAAACCACCCCCAGAAGGACGTGATTTGGTTTCCTTTTCTCTTTCCCAAATTCATAACATGGCGCGAGTGAATCTGCAAACGGGAGTTCTGAGCTGTTTACTTCGACACTGAGGCCCGAGAGGAGTGTAGTCTGCCAGGCCATCAGGACAGAGCTGCGATAACATAAGAAGAAGAAAATAAACGCAGCTGTTCTTCACAGAGAAGGAATGAGCCTTGGATCTGAAGTAAAGACCTTCAGTGCAGTGTAATGCACACACAGAGAGCGCTTGCAATTAACTTGCGTACTCACGGCTGCTCACAGGACGTCAGGAGCACACAGACAGAGCACTCGTTCCAACTGGGGGCGTCGGTACACACTACTCCAGGGTGCAGAGGTCTCCAGACACAGGCTTGCCCTACCTGCTAAATGTTGCTGATTTAGTTGCTAATAATCTCATTTTATTGAACAGCTGGTTGCACCAAGCACTTGCACCAGGATGGATTTAAACTTCAGGAGCTGGTTTCTTGTACCACCGAGGTATTGATTATTGACACTCTGTCCCTTAACCGGCCGGTGGACTTGGATGTGACTTTGTACCACAGCCTTACACTCAAGTTGAAATTAAACTAACCACTGGGGTCGGGTAAGAGTAAGCATAGGTGCGCACAAAGATATCTCCTACCCAATCTGGGATGTTCAGCAAGTTATACCCCTACAATAATGACCAGCTTTCATACAGCTGTGAAGCATCGGAGCAGGAAGAAGACACAGAGGGGAGATGGGGGAGTTCTCTGACCTATTGCCGTTCGTCTGTTTGCCCACAGTGGACTATTGATCGAATGACTTCAGCAAACACAAGGGGGGATGAACGCAGTTCGGTGGCCAATACAAGTCAAGTGCTCTGACCTTTGGCTGAATATTTACTGTATCCAGGGGGCTCCATGTGAGTCACTGACTATTTACTGAAGCTGGAGGGCTTCTTCCGAGACCCTCGCTGGGGTGATATCCTGGCCTCTCCCTCTCTCAGACCTGGGAGCCCGTGGCACAGTTTGGAGTTTGAGTGGAATGACATTTTTACAGCGAATAAATGAAAGCGGTCTGTGTGCTGGGCAAGAGGAGAGGGGGCTTTGATGAAGATGTGGACCGGTGCAGCACAGGGGGGGGGATGCTCCCTGCAGCCTGTTGGATCGTTACTCTCCAGCCCGGGGTGAAGTGGTGACGTCCGTTGGCCGAATTAGGATGCGAGAGGAGTGAAAACCAGCAGGAGTGAAGCGGTCTGCCTGCTGGCGTGCTTGTGTAAACACGTCATTACAGCAGCTTCCCCTTGACCTCCTGGAGTAACACACTGACAAGAAGACCACAAGCATGGCATCCATCCATTTTCTATCCATTTTACCCAATACAGTTAATGGGGGGTCTCGGCAAGCAACTGGCACAAGGCAGGGTACATCCTGGATGGGACACCAGTCCATCACAGGGAAGACAGACACAGACACATTCACACCACGGCC